AACTGAAAACAGCCAGACATATGTGCGTGGAAATAGCTCGGGACGTGGCCGGGGTCGTGGACGTGGACGTGGCCGTGGCCGTGGATATGGCCCAGATCGTCGATTTGACGGGTACAACTCGGGCCGAGGGAATAATCGTGGACGAGGCCGTGGCTATGCCCAAAATTTTGAAAGGGGGAGAAATTTTCAGCCAAAATTTGAACAAAATAATGTGACGGAAAATAATAATAAAAATGCATGTTATCGATGTGGAAAGACGGGACATTGGGCACGAAACTGTCGTGCTCCGAAACACGTTGTTGATAAATATAATGATTCCCAGAAATCAAAAGATAAAAATGTAGAAACTAATTTTATAGTTGGGGAATCCTCTGAAAATAATACAACACGTGTAGATGATGACTATGGCATCGATGACATGTTGAACCTGGATTTTGCTGATACGGTATTTGAAGAAAGAGCTGGAAATGACCAAGAGAACAACTGATTATCCTGTTTCTTTTATTGCTTTCTAAGTTTTTGTTGTATTTGCGTATTTGTACTAGTTGTATCTGTATTTCAAATTTGATCAGTAATAATGTTGTTTTCTTTTAGATCATGGATCGGTCTCGAATTCAAAATGGAGATATATGTCTTGCAGATTGTGCCACAACTCATACTATACTCAAGGACAGAAAATATTTTGTCAACTTGAAATTAAATAAAGCAAAAGTAAACACAATATCTGGAAATGCAAAGATAATTGAGGGTTCTGGAAAAGCCATATTTTTTATGATGGGAGGTACAAAGTTTACATTGACTGATGCATTATTCTCCCCGAAATCAACAAGAAACTTGTTGAGTTTTAAAGATATCCGAATGAACGGATACCATGTTGAAACAATGAATGAAGGGGGAGTTGAATATCTTTGCATTACCTCAAATGTTGCGGGAAATAAATGTGTTTTGGAAAAATTGCCAGCTTTATCCTCGGGCTTATATTACACCCGCATTCATATTATTGAGACTTATGCTGCAACAAAGTCACCAGCGAATGAAATGTTTAAACTTTGGCATGATCGACTTGGTCATCCTGGCTCAATAATGATGCGAAGAATTATTGAAAATTCTAGTGGGCATCCATTAAAAAATCAGAGGATACTGCAAACACATGAGTTAACATGTGCCTCATGTTCTCAAGGGAAATTGATAATAAGACCATCACATACTAAAGTCGGACATGAATCACCATTATTTTTGGAAAGAATTCATGGTGATATATGTGGACCTATTCATCCACCTTGTGGTCCATTAAGATATTTTATGGTGTTAATTGATGCTTCTAGTAGATGGTCTCACGTGAGTTTGTTATCCACTAGAAATGTGGCATTTGCTAAATTGCTTGCCCAACTTATCAAATTAAGGGCTCAATTCCCAGATTATATTATCAAAAGGGTCAGACTGGACAATGCTGGAGAGTTTACATCTCAAGCATTTAATGATTATTGTATGGCAGTGGGAATTGATGTTGAACATCCTGTAGCACATGTTCATACTCAAAATAGTCTAGCAGAATCATTGATCAAACGATTGCAGCTTATAGCCAGACCATTGATAATGAGGACAAAACTGCCCACTTCAGTATGGGGACATGCTATTCTGCATGCAGATAATCTAATTCGCATAAGGCCAAGTGCACACCATACATACTCGCCATTACAGGTGGCATCTGGTCGAGAACCAAATATTGCACATATAAGAATTTTTGGTTGTGCAGTGTATGTACAAATTGCTCCACCCCAACGTACGAAAATGGGGCCTCAAAGAAGGTTGGGAATATATGTTGGATATGAATCTCCATCAATAATAAAATACCTTGAACCAAAAATAGGTGATGTTTTTACAGCTCGGTTTGATGATTGTCATTTTAATGAAGAATTATTTCCCCCTTTAGGTGGGAATGAAAAGTCAATTGAGAAAAATATTGAATGGAGAACATCATCACTATCATATCTTGATCCTCCCACCAAACAAAGAGAGCAAGAAGTTCAAAAAATTATACATCTGCAGAATATTGCAAATCAATTGCCAAATGCATTTACTGACACAAAAAGGGTGACAAAATCACATGTTGCAGCTATAAATGCCCCTGCTCGAATTGAGATTCCAAAAGAAATGGCAAATGACGATATGCCAACTGAGTTAAAGGCACGCTTGAAACGAGGAAGGCCAGTGGGATCTAAAGATAAGAATCCTTGAACGAAAAGAGAAATTCAAGATTCGAGTTTGAAAAAGAATCAAGATGATGGAAAAATTTCGGAACGAAATGAAAATATTGAAATCTCCATCAATTATGTAAATAATGGGAAACTTTGGAAGCGTGATGGGATCATTGATGATGCGTTCACATATATGGTATCACAAGAAATTGACAAAGAAGTTGAGGATCCTGAACCAAAATCTATGATTGAATGTCAGAAAAGATATGATTGGGACAAGTGGAAAGGTGCTATTCAAGCCGAGTTAAATTCGCTTAATAAACGAAAGGTGTTTGGACCTATTACCATTATACCTAAAGACATAAAACCTATTGGGTACAGATGGGTTTTTGTCAGAAAAAGAAATGAGAAAAATGAGATCACAAGATATAAAACTCGCCTTGTAGCACAGGGATTTTCCCAAAGGCCTGAGATCGATTATGATGAAACATATTCCCCTGTTATGGATGCGATTACTTTCAGATACTTGATTAGTTTGGCCATCCATGAAAATCTTGAGATGCGTCTTATGGATGTTGTGACTGCTTACTTATATGGATCACTAGACGCTGACATTTATATGAAAATTCCAGAAGGAATTAGAATGCCCGAAGCACTAAAGTCCAAACCTAAAGAGTTATGTGCGATAAAGCTGCAAAGATCATTGTATGGCTTGAAACAATCCGGGCGTATGTGGTACAATTGTTTGAGTGAACAATTGCTTAAACGGGGATACATAAATAATCAAATATGCCCGTGTGTTTTTATAAAAAGATCACAAGATGGAGTTGTGATAATTGCTGTCTATGTCGATGATCTTAATATTATTGGGACTACAAATGAAATTCAAGAAGCAGTCACTTTACTAAAAGGCGAATTTGAAATGAAAGATCTCGGACAGACCAAATATTATCTCGGCTTGCAAATAGAACGAGTCCAAAATGGGATATTTGTCCATCAATCTAATTACACTCAAAGAATACTGAAACGATTCAATATGGACAAGGCGAATCCACTTAGTACTCCAATGGTCAATCGAACATTAGATATTGAAAAGGATCCGTTTAGACCTTGTGAAGAAGATGAAGAAATACTTGGTCCTGAAATACCATATATGAGTGCCATAGGAGCTCTTATGTATCTTGCTAATTGTACCAGACCAGATATATCTTTCGCTACTAATTTATTAGCAAGATATAACTCGGCACCTACGAGGAGACATTGGAATGGAATTAAGCATATATTCCGTTATCTCCAAGGGACAATCGATTTGGGACTGTTTTACTCTAACGATAAAAAACATGAAATAATTGGTTTTGCAGATGCAGGATATCTATCAGACCCCTATAAAGCAAGATCTCAAACCGACTATGTTTTCACAATTGGTGGAACTGCATTTTCTTGGCGCTCCCAGAAACAAACATTAGTTGCGACGTCTTCAAACCAAGCTGAGATCATTGCACTTCATGAAGCAACTAGGGAAAGTATCTGGCTCAGAAACATGACTCAACATATTCAACAAGCCAGTGGACTATCGAACAATAATGACCCGACGGTGATATTCGAAGACAATGCAGCATGTGTTGCCCAAACCAAAGAAGGATACATCAAGAGTGACAGAACTAAACATATCCCTCCAAAGTTCTTCTCATATGCGCAAGAGCTTGAAAGAAACAAACAAATCAAAGTTCAATACATTCGATCAAGCGATAATGCAGCTGATTTATTTACGAAGGCGCTCCCGACGACAATGTTTCGAAAGCACGTACATAACATTGGAATGAGACATCTTCGGGATTTGTACAGATGATAACTCGAGGGGGAGTATGTGCGGCTGTACTCTTTTTTCCTTATCTCGGTTTTTTTCCCACAGGGTTTTTCCAGATAAGGTTTTTAACGAGGCAACATAAACGCACAGTTAATAGTGGTAATTCCAAGGGGGAGTGTTATGGACAAGTGGAATCTTACCACTAGTACCATTAATATTTTATCTTATCATGGTATAGAAATGTGTGCTTGTATGCATAAATTTTGCTACAAAAAAGTGAAGAAAGAAAGCAAAGTATAATTTGTTCCGATTTTTTTACATTATGTTCTTTATATTCTTCGCATTTTATAACAGAGACCTTTTCTTTGGCACTGTAATTATTAATTAAAAATTATTTTATCAATAAAAAAAAATATATATATAACGAAAGAATTATGAGACCTTTGTTTCGGCTGTGCCGACGATTTCCATTTTATTAGAATGCTTTTGGTGAGAATCCGGCCGGAAAAGTTTGGGAGAGATTTTGAAATTTTTTAAAGCAGAAGAATCATGAGGGGCAAAGAAAGTTTGGACTTCATTTGACCAACACAGTGCGAAGGAGAGAGAGAGAGAGAGGGGAGAGGTTGGGGAGTAGAGAGCGAAACAGAAAATAGCGGGATGGCGAGCGATCTTCCAACGACCAAACCCCGGATACATACAACCACGCCTAATCATTTCAATTCTCGCTCTCTTTTCCCGCTGCTTCAAACTCTCTCACCTTTCCCTATTCCTCAAGTATACGCACAACACACTCACGCACTCACGCACATTTTTGTTACTTTGAATATTAGAGGTTGACGATCAGATTCTGGAAGCTGATTGAGCGAAGAGAGAGTGAGAGAGACAGACAGAGTCTGTTGCGGCGGAGGAGAGGGAAACTTTTGCCGTGAGCTTGGGCTGAGGATTTGGTTGTTAGTTCTCAAGGAAGAGGCGAGATTAGCGATACACGACTGAAGATGGCGTCAGCGGGAAATTATGACCAGTCAGCGTTGAACAGACGGCCGTCGCGTAGCGCCGCGACCACCACGTTCTCGACGGAGGTATTTGATAATGAGGTGGTCCCGTCCTCACTCCAGTCTTCTATTGCACCAATTCTCCGTGTTGCTGCTGAGATCCAGAATGAACGTCCGCGTGTAGCCTACCTCTGTGCGTCTCTGTTCCATTTTCTAGTCCTCTCTCTCCTATCGCACCGTTCATTACAATGACCTATTGCCATCCTTTAATTTTTTTTAAACCTTTTATTGCGTATTTTATGTTTGGGCCACGTTCAGACGAATTTCAAGGGTTTCTTTTGCAGAATGTGTGTGTGAGTGTGCCCGCTCGTGCATCTGCATGTATGTGTGTGTGCGTCTTCTGCAGTATGTACTTGAATGAAGATTACTATTAGATAAGTTCATTATGCATCATTGTCCTGTTGCACTTCAGTCTTTAGATCTTGTATTTCACAGTGTTACTGGTATTGCAAATATAATTTCAGTAGAACCTAACAAATGAACTGCATTTTTCTTTTACTGGTGGCACGTGGTCCAGAATAATTTCATTTTATTATATAGAACCTGTGTACTCTGTTCTGAAAATTTAACTTGCAAGTTATATCGTTTCCTTTGTTGAATCAGCTGTTGTTCAGTTTAGTGCTCAGTCTTCAGACTTATAAGCTTCTTTGTGTTTGTCCGAAAATTGTTACATGCCTCTTCTTGAAGCATAAGATTTGTTTAATCGTTTTTATTCAATTTCGAATAGGTCGATTTTATGCCTTTGAGAAGGCGAATAGATTGGACCCCAATTCCACTGGACGTGGTGTTCGACAATTCAAGACTAGTCTCCATCAAAGACTAGAACGGGTAATCATAATGTTCTCATCAAACCTATTTTTAATGATAATGTTTGGCGATGTTCTTTTACATAAAAATAATGGAGGAACATTTAAATTTAAAGCAGAGTTAATCTAGTCAAAGTTGCTTTTCTGAAGTGGGAGAGGTCCAAAACCTAAAGAGTCTCTTTGCATTATCATTATAGGTTATAGGATCTTAGTATTGTTTCTATACACATTTTTTGGAGTAATATCTAGATTTTGTTTTAATAAATTGTATGTTGGACACCACTATTTTGACCTTCCTAACGGACATGTCCCAGTTGAAGTTGATTAAAACTTTATAATATAATAAATTGATTGAGATTCCACTGCCAGAATAGATCATAAATTCAAAAAGTCATAGCTAAGTTTAAGCAAGGTTAATATGGTATATAGATATACCATGAGAAACATTAAGCAAGAGGAAACACATTTAAATTGTGTTCATTGACTACTTGGATATTGTTTCTGTGAGCACTTTATCTTCAACCATTTTTCCATCTTGGATTTGTCTGTTGTGATTGGAAGCACTCATTTACAGAATTAAGAGTAAAAAATGACTGGCTGCCGTTGGTCTGAGTTGACATTTGTTTATTTAGCCGTTCTTTCCATCCATTTATAATTGGCTACCAGTCGAAATACTGATTGCTTAATGGGTCCAGGAGCTGTTCTGAATTTTTACCAATGAAAACAATAAAATGCCTTACAAATAATTCCTACATTTGGATCTATGTAATGTAGGCCATGTTCACAGTTTAATGCAAGGACTTAATTAATTATCTGTATTTTCTTAGTTGTTTTATCTGTATTTTCTTAGTTGTTTCTCTTACGTGTAAAGATACACTTACTTGTAAACTCCATTTAAGGACAATGCATCAAGTCTTTCTGCACGGGTCAAGAAGACAGACACACATGAAATTGAAAGCTTTTACAAGCAATACTACGAGGACTATGTTTTGGCACTTAACAAGGGGGGCCAAGCTGATAGGTGCTCAGCTGAACTCACTATTTTCCCAGCAGTTATTTTATTGTCAAAAATGTGAAAAGAGCATAATACACTTATAAATGTATTATAATTAAGCTTTCCTTTCCCAGAGCTCAGCTTGGAAAAGCTTATCAAACAGCTGGTGTGCTGTTTGAAGTTCTCTGTGCTGTTAACAAAACTGAAAGAGTTGAGGAAGTTTCTCCTGAGGTCAGTTTTCTTCATAGTTAATTAACTGTTTATGTATTGTTAGATGGTGTGCTTTTTTACACCCCTCTCTATATATATCATACTCATTTGTTAACAAATTTCCTGCACAATTGAGAAAATTGATCTCTCAATTATTTTAGCCATGTTAAATCAACTTTTATCAAACAGATAATGGCTGCAGCACATGACGTCCAGGCGAAAAGGGAAATATATGCTCCCTATAACATTCTTCCACTGGATTCTGCAGGGGCCTCACAGTCCATTATGCAACTTGACGAGGTGATGTATTTTGCACCACCATGAACTTTTTATTCCCCATGAGTTTGATGGAGTTGTTCGAAGGGACAAAATATAGAACTCAAATTTTGAACTGAACAGTTAGAACCGTTAAATGTCACTAGAGCTACAAGGTTCATAGTACCATCGATGCGCTGTTTTGATATATAAAATATCTTTTCTTAATATTAGTAGTGGCCTGATGTGATGATGTCAGGTTAAAGCTTCTGTGTCTGCTTTACGGAACACTGTTGGCTTGTCCTGGCCTGCCTCATTTGAGCAACAGCGGCAGAAAGCAAGGGAGTTGGACCTGCTTGATTGGCTGAGGGCAATGTTTGGGTTTCAGGCACGTCTTGTTAATTGTTTAGTCAGAGTATATAATCCTTACTCTTTCTTATTTTGGATGAAGATATTAAAACTTACTCGGGTGCTATCTGCAGAGAGACAATGTCAGGAACCAAAGGGAGCACCTGATTTTGTTGCTTGGAAATATTCATGCAAGGCTAATCCCCAGGCCTGAACCACAAACAAAAGTATGTATCTCGATCTGTTTCCCTGGATTGCTACAAAGTTATATCTTTGACACAATCATAGGGAATATCTAGGAAATACTTCACTTTGATATGACTAGTTTTCATTTGAATCCGAGTGATGTTACCCTGAAATGATTGGAGCTATAGATTTACTTTCTTAAAGGAGTTTTCCCTACAGATTTTAATTTTAAATGATTCACAATGTTTTACTTGAGCCTCAGATTGAGTCAGCATTCACTTTATTATTATTGATAGCTTGATGATCGAGCTGTTAATGCACTCATGAATAAACTCTTCAAGAACTACAAGACCTGGTGCAAGTACTTGGGGAAAAAACATAGTTTAAGGTGAGATGATGGGATTCTGCAATAGCCTAACTACAATTTCTGCTATACGGATTTTGTGATTATTAATAATTGCACCATGATGTTCATAGGCTCCCCGAGGGGCAGGAGGAAGTGCAACCAAGAAAGCTACTTTATATGGGCCTTTATCTTCTTATCTGGGGTGAAGCAGCTAATGTTCGGTTCATGCCAGAGTTCCTATGCTACATTTTCCACAATGCAAGTCATTTACTTCATTTAAATGATAGCCAATTGATGTTGAAAAAATTGCCTTGAAATAGTCTAGCTGAAATGATGTATATGAGTTGGTGTTCAGATGGCATATGAACTTCATGGGCTCTTAGCTGGAAATGTCAGCATTGTTACTGGTGAAAACATTAAGCCATCTTATGGTGGGGATGATGAATCTTTCTTGCGGAAAGTTGTTACACCTATTTACCGAGTCATTGAAAAGGTACTATTTTTGTTTTAGGGGAATGCACATATGTTCATGGTTTGTATATAATATAATTGGTTCTTATTCTTTAGGAAGCCAGAAAAGGAAAAAATGGGAAAGCCCCCCACTCAGCCTGGTGCAATTATGATGATTTAAATGAGTACTTCTGGTAAAGAGTTTAATTTACAAGTAGTGACTGTTGCTGATATCAACACCATTCTGTATGACTATGATTTGGCAAATTATTGTAGGTCATCAGATTGCTTTTCTTTGGGTTGGCCAATGCGTGATGATGGTGAGTTCTTCAAATCAATTCAAGATGTACCACAGGTATGATCAACACTCAGGGGGCATTAAGCTGTTTAGGGGGAATGTTGTTCACAGCAGTATTAGGACTGGTGTTTCAGGTAAAACGGGTTCCTCAGAAAAAACCTGGAAAACTGGGAAAGTCATTCTTTGTGGAAACCCGGACATTGTGGCACACTTTTCGAAGTTTTGACCGTCTGTGGACCTTTTTTATACTAGCTCTACAGGTACCTAATTAGATTGCTGAAAATGGAATAATATTGATGTTTTCACCCTTTGTTAAGGTGCTTACGTTGAACAATGAGATTCTTCCCTGCAGATCATGATTATTATTGCTTGGAGTAAAGTTTCTGTCTTCTATATCTTCGAGAAAAATATCTTATACAACTTGTCCAGTATTTTCATCACAGCAGCTTTTCTTCGCTTTCTTCAGAGTATGTTGTCTATTTTCATAGCTGAGATTCTCTACCATGTTATTACATATTGTATATTCTTGTTTGGGAGCATGGCTAGTGAGAATATTGAACCCCCACTGCTTTTGATTATTTGACCGACAATTTGCTTCTGAAATTGTTTTCAGGCATCCTGGATTTTGTTCTAAACTTCCCTGGATATCTAAGATGGAAGTTCACTGATATTTTACGGAACATACTAAAGATAATTGTCAGCCTCTCTTGGTCCATCATTCTTCCTATGTGTTACGTGCCCCGAAAGAATTCAATGTCTTTTGGCAAAATCAAATATATCCTCACATTCCTTGATAACGGCAACGGTGTGCCTTCTTTATACATCATGATGGTAGCTGTCTACCTGCTCCCAAATTTATTAGCAGCAGTGCTCTTTATTTTTCCTATGCTGCGGCGTTCGATCGAGAACTCTGATTGGCTTATCATAAGGTTTCTCCTTTGGTGGTCGCAGGTATGCGTTATTGTTCTCTACTCATGTGCACACATTCATTCATGTGTGGAAAAACAAAGCTGGCATGCACTAATGAGTATCTATGAGCTCCTCCACTGCCTATTACATAACAGAAAAATGAGATAAATTTTTAGGTCTTTTCCAACTAGTAATGAAGTGGCTGAGATTTAACTGATCTAGACAGCCACCATCAGGCCATGAAATTGTCTCATATATTTCTGGTGATGCATCGATTTATAGTTTCCATTTATGGAATGTACATGTACAACATACTAAGTACTAAAATGCTTCTTTTCTCATTGGTATTGAACTTGTTTTATGTTTGTTGATATGTTGTCTCTATTTGATACTATTTTTCCTTGAGTCAAGTTAGCAACATATGGTTCATTCGTAGTGTATGACGCCTAAGGTGTCACAATTATTGCTTTGTACATCAGCAGACAAAACACTGTATTATATCTCACCCGGTAATTGTTTATAGACGTTTATCTAACTAAACGGTCAAGCACTGCAGCTCTTCCACAGTGCTATACATAGTGATTGCTCAAATTTTGTATGGAATTCATTGCGTTGCCTTTGTACACTGCTTGGAATTAATATTTAGTAGAGAGTGTTATCAAATTTCTGTATGGCAATATGGCGTGGCAGATTTCTGCCTAATCGCCATTAGAAATTTGTGAAGGATGGTGGCTATGGCGGCGCCACAAGCCGCCATTGCGGCGGTTATGGTGGGATTTTAGTCTGCCGCCATTTTCTGCCATCCACCATCGGTAACACTGTAGAAGAGGTGTGCTAAAGATGAGAAACTTTCATAAGCTTTACTGTAAATTAAGCCGCTCCTTTCTTTCCACAGCAATTGTAAAATCTGTATATAATCTCTTTGCAGCCAAGAATCTATGTAGGAAGGGGAATGCATGAAAGTCAGTTTGCACTTATCAAGTATGTTTTGCCCTTCATTATGTCATCACTTGATTTCTTTCAACTTGTGACATTGAAAATGTTTATTATTGTCCTAATGTAACAGGTACAGTCTGTTTTGGGTGTTGCTTCTGTGTTCAAAATTTGCATTCAACTATTTTCTGATGGTGTGTTTCACATCCTTTGGTCAGTCTATTGAATATGAAGTGCTGGCTTTTGAATATTCTTTCGTTTGTGCCTGGATCTTGTTTGGACCAGATAAAACCTCTAGTAAAGCCAACACAAGATATAATGAGAATTAATCACGTTGACTATTCTTGGCACGAGTTCTTCCCTGACGGTATGTGTTCAAATCTTTTAGTTTTCGCCCAGACTTCTTCTGAAGCTTCACATGTTGAGATACTTGTGCAAATGCAGCTAAGCATAATTATGGAGCTGTTGTTGCGCTGTGGGCACCAGTTATCCTTGTCAGTCTCTCTTATCATTCACATATTTACTCTAATATGAATTTTATGTTTACATTCATTTCAATTTTAATCAAAATAGTATTTATTCACAATAGTTACATAGCTGTCATAATTGCATTCAGGTTTACTTCATGGACACCCAGATTTGGTATGCTATATTCTCTACTTTTTGTGGAGGTTTTATTGGTGCCTTCGATCGTCTGGGCGAGGTACTGATCACTGTTGAAAACAATTAATTTATTAATTATGAACAAAAATCCCGTCTACTGGTTTGAAGTTTTCCTATTGTTCTGTTAGCATATAGTTACCAAGTCTGAGTATGTGCTTACTGTTTCTTCCAATCTGCAATAAGAAATCTCATCCCCCATGAAGTAATTATAATATAAAGAGATTTAAGAGCAAGGATTTTATGCATATAAACTGATCATTAGTTATTTTTGAATCTATTGTGGTTTTTTACTGTTTTTTGTTTACTAGAGTGAATAATAAAATTAATACATGGTAAACAGTCATAAGTACATGACATACATGTAATCATTTTCTTTTTTACTACCACCCTCTGATCCCTTTATGTATCTTTCATGTTGGAAGCTTTCGTACCTTTTGCAGTTTATCATTTGTTCATTCTTGAAAGGAGTAGTAATTTCTTTTTTGAGAGACTCTCAGCAAGTATGTTTTTGAATTGGGCGACTGATACAGACAATATCCCATAATTATAGGGATTGAATTAAATAATTAGTATCACTATTTTTAAGGTCCTAATTAAAAGAATGAATAATTAAGGAAACTTAGATAATCATATCTCTACACTGACCCTCAATCCGGCGCATAAGTGTCGTGTGTCTAACTTCCTAAATATGCAAGATACTCTTGGACCTCTAATAAGAGTATCTACAATGCATTGAGTCTAGTCTTGCCTATGTGGCATGTAAATAAACCCAAGTCTTGGATGACATGGATAAAAGTATGTAAAATTAATAAAATTCACTCGCAATGCTAAGAGACTAAGTCTATACTTGGGTCTAAAATAGATATAAGGGTAGACCGAGTCTCTTTTTCTGGCTGTCATATCAGCAGAACCTGGTCTACTTTTGTTTGCATTGGAGAATACAATTTTTTAGACTAGGTCTATTTCTTATGTGCAATACAATTTTTTGTGAATGAACCCAAAGCATTGTGGATGCTAAGAGACTTGATGAAACATCCCTTAACTGATCATCAGAATTTACAAAGGGTGTTACTATTTACCGCCCCCTTTGGACAATTTTGCCCTTGTCATATTTTTTCAAAAAGTAAAAAAAAAAAAAAA